AATTTTTTTTTTAATTCTGTCTCTCAGAGTGGGAATGCACCTACAATGTGAATTTCAGACCCCTCCATGATTTCTAAGTGGGAGAACTTGCAAAATCGCAGGGTGTTCAAATACTTCTGTTCCTCACTGTAACATCATTAGATAATTTTGTGGGTGTTCGTGGTCAATCATTTTATAAAATCTAGTGTGGATCCTTATAAGTGTGAAACCTGTAAGCTTATATGAGGATGTGTTGCTCTCACTCACAGTGGCACACAGAACTCACTGTCTTCAATGTTGCATTTCATTTTATATGGGGAGGACTTCCTCTTCCTGGTTGCTGTTACTAGGGCAAATAAACTAAATAAAAAGTCTGAACTTTTACAAGGACAGCTGGATTGAAAACTTGTAGAATTAAAATGTTTTCAAAAATGTCTTTTCATGCCATTGTGCATTTTTGATAAACTAGATTTTGTTCCTGTAGTCTAGAGCTAAGAAGTCAGTACTAATCTAAGCTGCATTTTAAAACCAAATTTCTACACATGTACTTAAGAACTAAAAAGCACACTGTTTAAATAAGTGCTTTCCTGCAAATCTTATCTGTCTGCTCCTCTGGCCAGGTCCTCCCAGGCCTGGCTGCCACACAATAGCCTTAGCTACACACATGCGTTCAGCTACGCACCAAATCTTATTTTATCACAGAAATAACAGGCTATTTAAAACACACACATTAGGCTGACACAAACATATAAACATAGGGGACACACATAGTGCATAAACACATTCAACAACACTTGTGGACAGGAAATACGTTTAAAATGCAGATGGACACAGCGTACCACACACACATATGTAAGTAAAACACAATTTAAAACTCTGTGTGTATTAACACAACAACCCCCTCAGGGGTTATCTGGTGTAAACCTGCAGCCTGTGGTTACACAGCTATGTTTACACTAAACATGCAGGGTTGCATCATCACTACTAGTGTGCGGGGGAGGGATGGGATGTTCCCTACAACTAGTCTAACAATGCAAACATGCAAATCATTATTATCTCTCAGAAGCAAATGAAAAAGATCTCATACAATTTCAACAACCATTCTTACAAAAATGCACTTTATAGAGTATTTTTCTAACATTTTGTTACAATCCCTGTTACATACATTCAAGCCAAATCTTAGTTCTTTCTGCACTTTGGCACATGGACAGCTATGATAAGTTAAAACCCTATGGCATTGCCATTAATGGATGTATAGATGGTTTCAGTTGGTATGTGTTATGGATGGAAGCTTATACCACAAACCTAAAGTTGTTGCAAGTTACTTCATCAGAACAGTTTCATCTGTGGATGGATGTCCAGAGAGGAATCGTGCAGACAGAGGCACGGAAGATGGTTGTGTGGAACAAATCCAAATGTTTTTGCGGCGAAACCATTCAGTTTTGCAAGGGAGAGAAGTTTCTATTTTGGAAGAAGCACAGCAAACCAGCACACAGAGGGATGGTGGAGTACCCTTCACAGAGTGCACAGTTCTGGATGAACTTATTTCAAACTTTCCAGGATGATAGTCACTTCACAGGAGACTAAATGGACAAAAGTCTTATTCAGTTTTGTTTCTTTAATCTTGTTCAGGTAAAAAAAACGTTCCTGCCTTTCTCAAGACAGGTTCATATAGCACACCAGATGTTATGTCATGTGTTGTAATACTGGCTAAATGATCATAGAAAAATGTGCTCAACCCAATTTGTATTATTGGCTGGATCCTCAAAAGAAATCTGTGGAGCAATGAAAAATACGATCCCCTTGTCATACCAACTTAATGCCTGTTGATGCCCCTACTAGAGGCTGTACTTCTTCACCCAGCCACAGTAGTTGCTGTAGGTTGTAC